CAACTTGATTTTGAGATATTCTTTTTCTACAATATATTCGCCAACATTTATTTATAAAAACATATTTAACTTGTCGTCGAAATCGTGTTGATGTTATTAAAAATACATAGAAAGAACCCTAAAATAATCAAGATAAATAAAATAAATCTTTAAATTTCACATACTCCATAATTAAGATTAAAAAAAGAAACAGTTATAGCTGTAAAAAGTTGTAAAATAGCTTGAGAAATGACACTATCATTATATGTTAATGTACTAAATGTATAAATTCGTTGTAAAAGATACGGTAATAGTAAAACAACTAAAAATCCAACTCGAACAAGAATCATTGCTGTCAATTGTTGATCAAGTCTTCGTCGACGTATTGGCATTTGACGTCGTACAATACGACGAACATTTTGATAAGCTGCAATACTGAAAAATATGGAAACAATAATCGGTAAAATTCCAATCAGTATAAGAAAATAGAAATATGTAACATAATTTCTAAAATTTCGATTATATATATTACATCCATATTTTGATTGAATTTCAATAAAAAACAACGCTAATGTACTATGTAAAATCCAAAATATAGTTGCAATAATAGTAAGAATTTTAGCTGATTTTATTGTACTTTTTTGTCTTAAATATGGATAATAATTTGTTGATAAATATTGATCAATAGCAGCAAAACAAACAATATTAAGTGGAATAACAGTTAAAGATTGTGTAAAGAATGGTTTTAATTTACACCAAATTAATGATGTCTGTGTTAGATCATTACCAAATCCATTAATTGGAATATTAGATGTATATACAATCATCAGTTCAAGTAAATCAAAAATTGATTCTGCAATAAGATAAAAAGCAGATGAATTTTCTCGAAATATTGTAAGACGGGTAAATACAAAGATGTTAATTATATGTCCGAAGATACCAGTAAATAAAATAATAAAACTAACATAAATTGTATATTGTTGAGAAACATGAAGAATTAATTGTGCTATTGATGATGATGATGATGATGACATTGTATATATTCAGCAGTGTCGACTTCCTTTCTTAAGGGTAATGAATAATGTCTTTCTTCCGTTTTTTTTTCAATAATAAGAATTTCTTATTCGCTAAACACAACAATATAGAAAGGATGTTCCGAAAATTCTGATGGAACTTTCAAATTCATCATTCTAGTATTCAACATCACCAATTTCTTTGAAACTTTCGAAGATGATTGTATCTACGTGGTACTAAAGAACTACAAAATTTTAGATCTATAGCCTTTCATATGGATGAAGACCTGTGACGACATTGTCATGTACTATTTCTTTTAATTTTATGGAACTCACGTATATTTTCGAAGAAAATAGTGAGTGTAAGTTTTAAGTTCGAGGTTTGGCGGCTCCACCCATCCCTCCCCCCATTACAGATTCCAGCAACTACACAGAAAAAACTTCAGCTTTATTTAACAATAAAAAAAAGAGTTGCACAGTATCAAGAATATGAGTTTGACTGCTATACAATACTTCAATGTTTTCATGATTATTTGAAAAAACTGATATACGCTTAAGAAAATTCTTAATAGTGTAATGATTGGCATTTTTTAAGATTTTAAACTTTACATGATTCAATGTTTTTATTAGTGTCAGAAGTAAACAATTCCATTATTTATGAATTAATTGAGATATATAGTAGTGTC